CTGAAGCCCCTCGTGATGAGGCCTCAGATTTTAACTTTCCACACATCCTGGCTCCTCTCCAGGTGATTTACCACCATTCAAACCTTGAACATGGTTAGAACATCATGTTGTCCATCAGCTCAGGAGATCCCACATAGTCCCAGGAGATGGCTGGGTCTGTTTTGTAATTTTACTATCTCGTCTGTGTGAGCGTCCCCACAGGGACTGACTCCATCGGTCCATAATCAGACCTGAAGTAGCCGTTTGGATCAGACAACTACAAGGACCTGCGTGAGACTCCACAGCAACATTAAACACCAGGTGTTCACCAAAATGTCTTTAGCTGCTTGTTGTGAAACGAGCATTTTGTAAAGAATATTTTCTTGCTTCTTCATAATTCGATCAGAAAAGAAGTGATCTTGAGCAAAGACAAGACGTTTGATTAGTCTTCACCCCATTCTGATCCGGTTCTACATTGTGTTTGTTTCTGTTCTATTCATTTGACTTCTGATTAGTTTATCAGCTATAAACATCCAGAGTTGGAAAAGCTGCTTCCTCAGAGCTGCTCTGTTGCTCAAGGAGGCAAACGCAGAGTTGTACCGACACCCCAGCATTTTCCAGCAGCCTTTCATTTCTCCGTGTGGACCAACACTTCCATGGCCACGTCCTAGATTTGTCCTCACCGTTCAACTTTACTTTATTCCTTTTTTTTCTTAATTAAATCTCTATGTTTCTTGTTAAGGTCAGTTTAGATGTTGACCTCAGACCAGGAGCTCATGGTTGTTTAATCTTTATCATTTAATGGACCAGATTCTTCCAGGGCCTCTGATTACCTGACAAGTTAAATAATGTAAAAGCAAAGAGCTGCTCTTTAAATCCTACAAAGGCTGGTGTTTGAGTACTGCTCCATCCGTTGGGTTTTTCATTTCTAATGTTAGAATGAGTACACAAAAACAGCCGTCGTAAAAAAGTTTTTTTTTGTTTTTTTTTTCCAGTTGACTCTTTAAAAATGTCCAGACATTAATGGTGCAGTAACGTTTAATTTAAGTAGGCCATTGTTTGAAGTAGTTGTGTAAATGCAACATGAGTTGTTTTATGAATATGTAGAAGGTAACAAACTGCAAGTTTCCCAGATAAGCTAAAGGAAACTACAGTATGCTCTGTGGGTGTGCACGTGTCTTATTTCACATATGGAAAAAGTTGCTATCATCCCAGCAGTATAGTTCTTCCAGTAGTACAAATAAGTGTAATTCTTTAAGAGACAAATTATTGTCTTCCCCTCAAAACGAATATATCTGCTTATATTAAGTCCGTTTGTTGAGATCTGCCAAAGAAACTCAGAACAGTGAACTCAAAGGGAAACTGCTATAAAAAAAAAAAAGGAACAGTTGCACTGGATTTTTTAATCTGTTTAAATCTTCAGGTAACGATATCAGCACAATTCATCACGTATATCTAATCTGACATTGTTTGTGTTTAAACCTACACTTTGAATCAGTTGCAACAAAAGGGCACCACTCAGTGTCGCCTTTTAATGTACTAAATTATTTGCACCTTATGACCAAAACCTGAATGCTTATGGTCTTTAAAAAAGAAAAGTTTTTAACTCTCTCCATTGAAATGATGCATTTTAACTTTACATGAAGGCCTACCCTGTCATTAAGAGAATCACTCCTCTACAAAAGCAGCCATATTATGTCATATCATTTATCTCTTCACCTTTTGTATCTTTAAAACGCTTGTATAATGTTTCAAATTCCTATATTAGTTACCAAAATGACTATATTACCCTTTTGTGCTCGTCCTGTCTTCTTGAATGTAATCAATTTATACCTGTATTTTTCTAATTCTGTCTTGATTGTTGCGTCTTCTGATGGTATACTGTTCCTCAGGTGCACGGTTTGTTCCAACAGCTGCTGCACCATCAACTCATTGGAAATATGTGGTGGGTTTAAAGTCCAGAGGACTTATCGGACCATGTGAGCATCATGAGACTGCTAACTGAGAGTTTGTTGCATTTTAGGGCATTTTCATTCCATCGTGTGCTTTTACTGTTTCTTTGTTGTTGTGGCAGCAAGAGTGAAAGTCTGTCCACAACAGTTATAACACGGGGACATTCCTGCAATCAGATGCTTCAACTTATTTATCACTGTTCCTTTTTAAAGGTTTAGTAAAGTCAAATAAACAATATGCATTTGTTTATACATAAACTTGTATAAGATGGTTGCCCTTTACTAGAATGTTGATTTTGTGTTCTTTTTATCTCGATTTGCTCTGAAGCTCTGCCACGTTACAGGCCTCCCTGACTGTGACAGGTTGTACATCATGTGCTTACTGTAATTTATCTCAGTGGTGACCATCATAGCATTTCCAGTTTTGATTGTTAGTCCTTTATTTAGTATAGCCTTGCCTTACTGGAATCCCTGCATAGTGTGGGATTCCTCAGACACCCCTCCCCACAACTCTGTCATAACACTGTTTGTTGACGCAACTATTACTTCTTGGACACATATTAAATAATTACTACTATACTTGTGCATATGTGTGAATATTACGCTGCGTATTTAAGACACTCTTGCTTTCAGTGACATTTCCAACTGGTAGGTTAGTAGATGTCATTCACAAAGACGTCTTAAATCATTTACGAGGGGTTCTCAAATTCCTTCCTTGCAGTCTTGCTGCTTGAATTTTAATTGTATGTTCAAAATAATTAAATGAAAATTACTCCCCAATTATTCACTGAATTGTTGCAGGCATCTTAAACTCTTCTCAATTTAGTTGTCTTTATTCTAGGGCTGTATAGGTGCTGGTCATAAAATTAGAATATAATGAAAAAGTTGATTTATTTTAGTAATTCCATTCAAAAAGTGAAACTTGTATATTATATTCATTCATTACACAAAGACTGATATATTTCAAATGTTTATAACGTTGATGATTATAACTGACAACTAATGAAAACCCCAAATTCAGTATCTCTGAAAATTAGAACATTGTGAACAGGTTCAATATTGAAGACACCTGGTGCCACACTCTAATCATTAATTAATTCAAAACCCCTGCAAAGGCCTTTAAATGGTCTCAGTCTAGTTCTGTAGCTACACAATCATGGAGAAGACTGCTGACTGGACAGTTGTCCAAAAGACGACCATTGACACCTGCACAAGAAGGGCAAGACACAAAAGGTCATTGCTAAAGAGGCTGGCTGTTCACAGAGCTCTGTGTCCAAGCACATTAATAGACAGGTGAAGGGAAGGAAACGATGTAGAAAAAAGTGTACAAGCAATAGGGATAACCACACCCTGGAGAGGATGGTGCGACAAAATCCATTCCAAAATGTGGAGGAGATTCACAGAGTGAATTGCAGCTGGAGTCGGTGTTTCAAGAACCACCATGCACAGAAGTATGCAAGACATGGGTTTCAGCTGTCACAGTCCTTGTGTCAAGGCACTCTTGAAAAATGGTTATAAAAATAAAAAAACTTGCCCATATGGCCACGCTCTCGGGAGCCGCTGCTTCACATGCTCCCGGTGCAATCCCAGTTCTTATGAGTTTTGAAACTGACTCCGCACGATTAATGCATGTGAATTATAACCGAACCGAACTGATGAGAATAAGAGCGGATTTGCCACAGAATATAGCAACGATCAGAAATGAACTTAAATCTACACTCGACAGAATGTAGATCTTAAAGTCATCTACCTGGAAGCTGCAGCAGAGACACTCCCAACGGACAGAGGAGGAAGTGCTGCTTGGCTTAAGAAGCAAGGAGGCCGGGCGTGGGTTCTGGTAAGGCTAAGAGCCAACACTAAAGCTGGCAGACTCCTGATACCCTTTCTCTGTCGAACGTCCGCTCATTGGACAACCAGATGGATTTGCTTCGTCTGAGTGAGCGCCTCAGAGGAGTTGAGGAAACGTGCGGTAATTTATCTCACAAAATCATGGATTAACAGTGACATGCTGGATTCAAGCGTTCCAGCTAGACGACAGGCTCTTTTATCGAGCGGACCGCTACAATCAGGTAATGGGGAAATCGAGGGGAGGCGGGGTATGCATTTAAGTGAGTAAAAGTTGGTGTACAAACTGTACGCTGATAAACCGTCATTGCTCCAAGGCTAGTCTTTGGAGCAGCTAAAAGTGAAATGCTGACCACATTATCTACCCCGCGAGTTCACAGTGGCCTTCATGACAACTGTTTCTATAGCCCGGACACTAATGCCACTGACGCTCTGCAGGAGCTGCATGATGATTTCAGCTTGCTGCAGAGCAAACACCCTGAGGCTCTTTACATAGTGGCTGGAGACTTTAATCACGTGAATCTAAATGTCACTAAAATGATTTATGCATTGAAAAAAAACATTTGTTTTCAGTAGTGACACTATTTTGTTTTTAGTTGACGTTTGGAAAATGTTTTATCTTTTGTATAAGATACTCATTCTGTCATGAAGGTCTAGTTTTTGTTCTACCGTTACTGCAAGATTTGTGGAACGTAAGGGTGTGGCAAGATCTGCTGTGCTCGCTACGCACAGATCCCTGAAGCTACGCACAGATCCCTGAAGCTATGCACAAATCCCTGAAGACACGCACAGATCCCTGAAGACACGCACAGATCCCTG